TTGTTTTGCACCAGGCTGTTGGGGGAGTGCAATTTCGAGGCTCATGCCGTGTGTCAAGCTATTGGGGAATTACCACTTGCAGGGTCTTGCTTTGACTGAAGCCATTGAAGAATTATGCATCGCAGGGTTTTGCACTGTCTCAAGCTATTGGGGAGTTTCGACTTGCAGGGTACTGTTTTGCCCCAAGCTGTTGGGGAGGCTCCGAATTCCAACTTGCAGGGTCTTGCTTTGCATCAGGCTATTGGGGAATTACAATTTGCAGGTCCTGCTTGGCCCTGATCTATTGTGGGATTACAACTTGTAAGGGCGATTCCGTCATATTTTCCAGCCACGCGAAACATTTGTCGATTTCCAACCACGCGAAATCATGTGTCGATAGGCGAGTCCGGTTCATCATGGTTCTTAAAAACCCCCCCCCCCTCATTTGGCGATCCAGGTTCATCATACATCTTAAACACGCCCTATCATGTGGCGATTCCGGTTCATCATATACCTTCAACACGCCCCCTCCCATGGAGCTTCCCGTTCATCATAATAAGTATATCTTAAACACGCCCCCCCTCCCCCATGGTTCATCATATCTCTTAAACACGCCCCCTCATCACATATGAGTATCTTGAACACCCTCCCTCATTTGTTCACTCCGATTCATCACTTTCGCTAAACTGCTGAACCCACCCCCAACCTTTCACAGACCACCCGCGGCCTGCCGCTAAAAAAGAGAGCGGGGTGAATCACAGGGGGCGGGGGGCAGCCACTCCAATTTGCAACCACAATGTCTGTATCAGGGGGTTCTGAAAGGATCCATATGCGTGCTGTTTCTGCTGGCAGGATGTCATATTGAAGGGCTTGAACAAGCTGGGCAGGGGCCTGACGCAGCAGCGCAAAACGCTGACAGGGAGCTGGTTATGTGTCAAGGATTGTCGATGGTGTCTCGATGCATGCCTGGGGAGGTCTTCTCGTGTGTGAACCAGCCTGGTTCGCGCGAAAACTCAGAAATGAGAGAGGGCAGACAAGACTTTGCATTCCGTGCACACACACACACAGAGTTCATCATACATCTTAACCATGCCCCTCATTTATCATTTGGCGATTCCCATCATATACTTCTTAGACACATTTTTTCATGTGGGACTTCGGTTCATCATAATCTTAAACACACACACACACACACCCGCCCCTATTGGGCTATTCAGGTTCATCATATATCCTAGACACGCTCCCTCATTTGGCGATGGAGGTTCATCACACATCTTAAACCCGCCCCTCATCATCTGACCAAAGACCAGCGGACCAGGACCAGAGGCCAAAGGTGACCAGGTGGACCAGGGGCCTAGGCCAACTTTACGAAGTTGCAAATACTATAACACAGCATTTCCGCAGGACCCCAGACAAGAGCCAACATTAGGAAAAAAGGGCCCTGTGTTTATGCTATAACATAAAGGATAGTTATAATACACCCCATACGTGTATGCGTGTATATATATATATATGTACACATAAATAAATATATATATATATATACATAAATGAAAAATAAATAAATAAACATACACATACACATACACATACATACACAAACACACAAACACTGTATGCACCCCCCCTCGAAATCCGGAAAAAAAACATAACAACAACACATCCTTGTCTTAATGTTCCTGTGGCGCACAGTATTATATCAAGTCGCTTTGGAGGGGATATGGTTTTTGTGTGGCTGGGGCCACCCCCTGCCCCGTGCCAAACTTGCACCAAGGGGCATTGCTAACATGCCTTGCGGCCTTCGCCCCGTACAAAACGGTACAAGTTGTACCGGATGGGTCCAAGATCCAAAACTGCAGCGGGGTCTCTTCGGAGATCTTGGCTACATTTGGCTACACGAGACTTGCCCCGGTACCACTTGTACCGTTTTGACCAGATTGTACCGGGCCGGGCTCCGGTGTCCAAGATCCCCCGCAGCAATCTTGGATTTGTAGACCATCCGGCACAACTTGTACCGTTTTGAAGTCCAATACCTAAGATCCCATATCCAAGATTACTGTGGCACTGTGGGACTCTTTGGAGGATTTTGGCGACCCGGCACCATGTGTATTGCTCGTGGCAACAGCACTACGGGCCCAAGCGAGGGAAGCAAGATTCGTCCGAAAGCTTTTCCGGTGATCTTGGTTCTTGGTTCCCGGGCCCATGTTAGCTAACACGGCCTGTGTAAGAGTTCCTTTGCTCGCGCCGAAGCGGCTACTTCTGTTAATATCTTCCATTGAAACGCTATTGAAACCAATGGTTTCCACCACTTCGTTTTTGCCTTTTGCCAGCTCGGCTCTGGGGCAGGTGGGGGCGGCCAGGGAGGGGGAGGGAGCGTCTGGGGCAGGTGGAGGAAGGAGAGGGGGGAGGAATCGTTTTTGCCTGTTGCCAGCTCGGGTCTGGGGCAGGTGGGAGGGGAGCGTCTGGGGCAGGCGGAGGAAGGAGAGGGGGGACCACGGGGGGGAACGGCCCAAACAGCAGAGGCAGGATTCTAGTACGTCAGCCCGCCTCGTCGAGCCTTTGGCACCGTGGCGCCCATGTTGGGCCAGGTACGAACACCAGATGTTATTAATTTTAGGACCAGTTTCAGCAAGTCAATATGTCCCGCCTCCCACAGCCATGGGGACGGTAGCACCGACGTTGGGCCTAAACCCAAACGCACGACCCTTCTCAGGACCAGTATCATGTAGCCCAGATAGTCCCTCGTTGAATTTGCGTTGCTTAGTTCCTGGCCCATGTTAGTCACACAAAAGTTCGAAGCAAATATGATTGTGTGGTAGTATCCCTATCATAGAAACTCAGACTATTCATCAAACATGTTATTACAGAATCCCACCAAAGCCGTTACTTCAGATGCTGAACTCTATTATACCACATCCCCGAAGGATCTAGCCACGGATCTGTAAGGGGAAATCCAGTAAATGGGGTTTTTATCGCAAAATCAAAGGTCTCCAGTGGAAACTGCTATAGTCCTTCCTGTTGTCTTCTGATCCTAAAAATAATCAGTATACGTTTGTCCGAGGATCGGTATCTACACCAATCTAAATACATGAAGAAATGATCTGGGGGGCCTTAGTGATCCTGTATACATCCAGTGGTGGCCTGTCGAAGGCGCTGCAGGCGCGGCCGTCACGGCAGGTGATGCCGTCTTTTTGCGCTGAAGCCTCGCGTAGCTCTAACTCTTCGAGCTGGCGACGATGTTCAGCATGTCTCGCACTTACGCACTCCAGGGACTTCTCCTCCGACTCTTGAGGTGCGCGCCAACGAGTATAGAGGAAGCTAAAATGACGCATGGAGTGCAACAATGTTGTGACAGTGACATTTTATCTGCACACCCTGCCCCACTCTCAGCTGCCCCCCGAAACGAAGCAGCAGATTCTCGTGACGTGCTGCACTTCGAAGCGGAGCTACTCCCTGCCGAACTAATGAACTCTCAAGTTATTCCAACAATCCGCTAACTTCCAAGGTCAGCTTGATGCTGCATTGTCTCCCGCCGATAACATAGTAACCAGCCGTTTCATCTCCTATTCTCGCCTGCCCATTCGCAGTGGAATTCGCAGTCGAGTTCCGCACCAGCTGCCGCAGGCCTAGACACGGAGCCGTGTGCCTAACCACATGTCTCGGACCACGTCCGGCCAAGGATGTCAATGCTCGCAGAAGTTCTTCCTTGTGTCATCGACTTCTTGGGATACGTGGGCTGTGACCTGAGCTTTAAGGCACCTCCATCAACCCTTGGTTCCTTGTCCGGTGCTGTGGAATTTAGACCACGACAAAAGCCTTTCGAGAGAGGGGCAAGCCGCTTAGCCCCTACACTCCCAGCCCCCACTAGACAGCTCTAAAGCCGGCCTCTTCCTCCTTGGGCGATGTGGCGATCTTTGTCCACAAGCCTCATCGCCTCCCGCCGTCAAACCGACACCGACTTGGCTCCAACGCATCAGCACCACGGGAAGAGAGGGTGGTATGGTAACACCCACCCACCGCATGAGAAGACTAGCGAGTCTATCGGTTTCTTGTTGAACTCATGAATTTCTTCTGAAGCCATATTCTTCGTGCAGGATGGGGTGCGTGCACTCGTGATTGCAAATGTCTGTCGTTGCCACCTTGCTGCTTCCCATCCAAACACTTCAGACTACGAACCGCGGAGTAGCAAAGGCTGGGCTTTTCTTGCCTCTCACCTGGCTAGAACGAACCCTGCATCGGGGTTTCGACTCGCACACTCGATCCAGGCAGGCACGCATTCCAACAGGAGGTCTCAGCGTCGGGGCTTAAGTGGTTTCACACACACACGCACACACCTGGCAAGAGAAGCTTCGAACATCAAGCCCAACACAACGTCAGTCACATGACATGAGGGTTTTGGCTGTGCGAATCATGTCTTGATGAAACAGGCATCATCCATCCTCTCAGCACTGGCCTGCAGCAGCCTGTCTTCAGCATTCTTTTCCGCGCTGGCCTGCAAGTGTGTCGGGAGTTACTCTGTCTCTGTTGCAGGTGATTTAATGTTGCATGTCGCTGGGCCTGGCTGTAATTCCAGTTCTCAAGGAGAGAACTTGCGCCCCGCACAGGCCCCTTAATTAACACCTCGTGACAACTGTCACCTCCAGAATGCTCCAAGGAAAGTTTTCGCTATGGAATGACCACCCCTGCGAGGGACCTTCGATCCACTGCAGTGTCCCCATTGCGACTTTCACAGGCTCCTTCTTCGCAGGATAACGAGGATCCGAAGGGCGCTGTAACAGCAAGTCTGGCGCCTCGAGAGCGATGCGGTGAGCCGAGGCGCTTGGAAAGTGACCAGTCGCCTCAACAGACGGAGAAGGGCCCAGAGATTGAGAGCTGCGAACCCACGTGAGGGTCTCCAAACTGGCGGGATTCCCGCATGCCGTTTTTCGTACACACATGATTGGAAAAACGGCAGGTTTGACTCCGGTTAACATTGAAGTCCTTGCTTGTGAGTTCGACTTGAGCAGCAGCTGGCTAATCAAAGTAACAGTTGATTCCTTCTTGGCAATGCCGTGGCCCTGACGATGGCTAGCCGTGCACATGCAATGCAATCATTGTGGCGCTGCATGATTCCAGGATGTGTAAGATAGCAAACTTGACGGGCCGTCACTGGCCTCGTCAAGTAGTCGTAGCCGCAGCAGCAGCAGCAGGAGTGAGGGGAGTAGAAGTAGGAGCAGGCGGAGCAGTAGTAGTAGTAGTAGTCGTCGTCGTCGTAGTCGAAGTCGCAGTAGAAACGGCAATAGTAGCAGCGGCAGCAGCAGCAGCGGCAGGAGCAGGAGCAGGAGCAGGAGCAGGGCTGCTGCTCCTGCTGCTGCTAGTGCCGCTTCTCCTAGTACTACTACTGCTCCTCCTCCTCCTCTTGCTCCTCCTCCTCCTCCTAATGCTGCTGCTGCTGCCACTACCACTACCCTGCATTTGGCATCTATAGGAACCACAACAGCATCACAAGCACTGGTAGAGTCTGGTAGAAAAATCAACGATGGAAGTTTTCTCGATAAACGCAACATGATGGAGTACTAGGAGCCCCTCTCATGGATCACAACACAGGCCACCTGCAACAGTCAATTGTCAGAAGCCCAGTCACTAGCAAGGGCTGTAAGATTTTGGACACATTCGCATGATGTTCCCTGGCCTCCCTCTGCAGAGTTTCTTGGATATCGAGGCTACGCATGCGGATCTCCTCAGGGTTCAACATTTAGATGCATGCCCCTTCTCTTCATAGTCTGCACATGGTTCAAACAAAGCAATTCCTAAATACAGGACTCTTCATTCACCAAGTAGGTCCGCAATTATTAGCTGCCCTGCTATGGAAACCAGACAGACGGTCAATAGACGGTCCAGTTACATGCCACAGATGTGGCATTCAGCGACAAAAGCACCGAATCTCGAGTGCAAAAACGCGCAGCTACCGTTTCCTGGAGGTCCGACTGTATCTCTGCCAAGTTCGAGTCTGACCGCGCAAGCTCGTCGCGGTACTCCCAGACATCCAGCCCCTCAGCTTCCCAAAACGGGAACGCACATCTTGAGCAAAGGTGTCGGCGGCCCTTGGCGGTTCTGTTGCTCGATAAGGCCGAGGCCATGCAGCAGGATGACCAGCAACTGAGAAGAAACAGTTGCCCTGCGGCATGTCGGGCCAACTCGTGGCTTCAACGATAAGTTCATGTGGGAGCTTTCGACTTGCAACTGCTGCAGTCTGCGTTCAGTTTCCGTGTTCCTAATCTGCACTCAGCGCTATCACATGTTGAATGGCTGCAACTGCGCCCTTCAGGTGCAAACATCGGAAGTCCAGATCTGATCAGCCCGGCACCAAGCTGGGTTCTGATGAAGTGGTGGCCTCAGCCCAGCTAAACATCGCTCATCATTGACCAATATGGCCGTACCTCCAGTGACAAACCTGTCTGTCTGAAATCCAGAGATTCGACTTGACCTAAACACTGTTAAGACTCCCTGCCAAGGCAGGTTTCGCTTCGAACAACAAAGGCCGAGGCCAAAAGAACCCGGGAACATGGAATCTCCTCAGCTTGCAGAAGACTGCGTGCTCCAAGCGCGGGCTTGATCCGAGCTTACTGCAGCCAAGGCTCGTAGTAATATGGACATCGTAAGTTGCAAGTCCCTATACCGGATTTGACATGGCTGCGGGTCGTCGCGGCGGCTCGAGCAGTTCTCTCCATCCCGTGAACCCAACAGTGGCCAGGCCTGAAATCGAGCTTGCCGGGTGCATCAGCAACTGTTCCCGCTGCACAGGATCTTTATCAAACAGGATTGCGTCCCCACACCAAGCAAGGCACCAGAATCCGCATCCAAGTCAAACCAACTCGAAGCTACTGGCTTACCTCTGGCGCTCTGAAACTACCCTCCACAGCCGAAGATGCTAACTGTTCAGAATGCCCCGAACCCCGGGTAAACTGCAAAAGGCTCTGGGCTTTTTTCGGTCTGAGGCGAAGAAATCAACAATTAGCACATTCGCTGTCGTGACGCGCAGTCAGAACCAGGCATCGTCTTAGTCTTAATCTGCTTCACCACGACTGTTGAAGACACTTGAAACTTGAAACTTTGCCAGCTCGACACCCGGCACTGCGCAGCTCTACTGCGAGTAGCCTCTAAGCACCATTTTTCCTGCTGACACGTTCGTACAGCTGGCCTCCAGCCCAAGAATGAAAGTAAACCGCATCCCGAGGCTGCTGGTGAGGGATCTTCGGGAGAGGCACCGTTTGTCAAGACTAGTTCTCTTGTTTTGCAGGCATTTGACAAGAAAAGCCATCAGCAGTTGTTTGAGTTACACAGGTCCACAGAGCCTCTCGCCATTTCCAGGCTCAGGTGCTCAGGGCCAAACGCTGCCCGTTGCTATCGAAAGCAACCTTGGCAGAACGAGAGCATGGATGGGGCCACGGAATAGTACACCCTAAACCCTATAAACCCTACAAGCCCTATAAACCCCTAAATAGGACCAACGGGCTCCTGGCATCCTTTCGCAGGAAGAGCTCTGAACCCGTGGAGCGCTGGGACCTGAAAAAGCGCTCCACAAGTGGATTCATCGAAAGGGGGCTCTCTCAGCCTGTCTACAGGACCAATTTAAACTCCAATTTTTCGGCTCTGTGCCAGGTCAGGGTACCTAAGGACCTAAGGCTTGCATCTGCCAGCGCCCTTCCACGAAATCCTCATTCCAAGCCTAGGCTCCGCGTCCTTGCTGGGAGCCATAGCTGGGGACCGAACCACCAGGATGGATCCTCTCACTACCACACAACATTGACAGGTAATTATGAACTTCTGGCAGGCTCTTGATGCCATTTCGGGACATTCCACGACCAACGAGACGGAAAGGGATACAGTTTGACAAGCGGCCACATTTCTCATGCCTTGGGCTCCAGGCCGCAGGTTTGCCGTACTTTCTGCTGGATGTCAACCCTCTTTCACAAAGCATCTTCGGGAAAGAACAGCTTTCAAAAGACAGAACATCGAAGCTTTGCAGACACACTAGACCTGTCTGGATCGTGAACCAGCAAAAGTGAGGAATGCAATTCACTGGCACGGGAACGCTTCGAGCCAGGATTAAAAGCTCTCCGAAGCGCCTCGGGAGTTGGGTGCAGGAAGGGAACAATCAGGGAGGGCCAAAACCAAACGCACAAAGCCGATGAGGCGAAATTTCCTCCGACGGATAATCGCGAACCTCTGAGGTGCAACAGGAAATAGCGCAAGCTATACATGCTCCCGGGTGACTGCGGCCTGTCCTTCTCAATCTGCGTGCTCATGCCCTCCAGGGTTCTCTCATCTTGTGCCCAGGCCTCAGTCTTTCAACGGTCTGAGAAATCTCACGGGTTCGTCACCACCATCTTTCATCTTCATGGTTTCCTTGTCTATAAAATACACAACGTGAGACTGATGATATTAGCCTGCACTTCCCACTTGGATGCTCCTAGCGCTTTTCATGCTTCCAGTTCTCTACTGCAGCAACGACTTCAGTGTCACTGCATGAACCTAATGCATACAAGCGCACGTTTCGCAGGCCCAGGTCCTTGAAGCCAGAATCTTTTGACCATCGAAAACGTAAGAGGTAGGCATGCCTAGTAGTAGCACCTGAGATGATGAAAGCCAGCTGTTGGCCGGCTGCTCCGCGAGTATCCCAAGTCCATGCGGCGTACGCGCCATGTTACAGGATCAAGATAGCCACGGCGCCAAATCACGCACGAAATTTGCACATGCAGTGTGTGAAAAAGTATATCCACGACGTTTTGTGTGCGTGTGTGCAACTATGTCGACATATTCCAGGAACTTGAAGTAACTTGGAGATTTTGGATCAATGCGATGGAAGCTGAGCAGTCCACGGGCAAAGCGTTAACGGCAGACTCGATGGTGCAGTCGTCCAGTGGAGGCCTGAGTCGCTAAGCCCAAAAACTGAAGAGGGGCCCAGCTCACAACATGAAGACAATGGTAAGTGACGAAACCGTAAGTAAATGACAAAGTCGGTGTTGAGACAGAAAACTCAGCATGCAAAACATGCAGTAACAACATCAGTTCAGAAGAATCCTTTGATTGTTCATGAGTTGCACAACTACCGGACCACCGGACAGCATGCCACGGAAACAGTCGTGCCGTGGCCCTGCTCGCGAAACTGTCCTTTCTTGTCTTTGCCACACGACACACCACATGCGAGAAACCAACCTGCAGCTCGCAGTACTATACTTGGCAAAGAGCCCTCAGGGCTTTGAATCCCTCGCGCCGAGCTCGCCGCGCATCAGCTGGCGGCCCATTGACAGAGACCTGCATGTAACTTTGTGAGACCGAGATCCTACCACAGCCCCCATCCAGGCCAATAATTATTTTTTATGATTTTTTTATGATTTTACTATGAATTG